GCGAACAATCCGCATGGGGAACGCTTTGTTCGAAAAAAAAAAAATAAAATTTTGCCCCCCCATTAGTGGAAAAAAAACCCGCCCCAGCACTTCTTTCCGAAAACGCGTCCAATGTGCGCCCTCAGCCAGCCTAAACCTTTTTGCCCCCGTCCCATTTTTTTTTTTTTTTTACCACCCACCCCCCGGGAAAACATTCAAGCATACCCTGGGAATATTTCGTATTATTAAAAGTGTTTTTCGGTGCTGTTTGGGGAAAATAAGTGCCATGGGCCCCAAGAAAGTTTCTTTTTCCAAAACCCTACCCCTAAAGGGGGTAAGAATCCCCTTTTGAAATGAAGAAAGAGTCATTGTAGTAGAAAGGGGAAGAAATATAAACCGCCCTTTGGTCGGGTTGTACAAGAAACCAAAAAAAACCATCGCTTCTATTGGGGGCAAGAAAAGGGAAATTAAAGGGAAGCTTTTTGTTCCCAAAAAGGTTTAACTGTGTTTTCAAAACAAAGATGGGCAAGTGATAAAAAGATGTTGAGGGGACTCTTATTGGTGTGGAAAAATGAAAAACAGTAGCAGGAGATACCCTTTCTCTCAACGATCATATTTTGAAAAGGCTGGGAAAATTTGCAGGGACGTTTTAATTTAAAAAAAAATGCCGCAACTAGTATATTTGGTAATTTTAAAGGGCCAGAAAAAAAAGGGTTGGTTTGGAAAATTTTAAGAAGCGTAGGGGCACCCCATAGTGTGATACGGCAGGTGAGGGGGCCAAAAGGGGACCAAAAGCGGCTAAAAAAAATATGTGCTTTAAAATTCAAGGAGTACATAAAAACAAAAGGACGGGAACCTAAAACAAGTTTTTAAATTTGTGATGAAAACGGGCCCCTGTTCGGGAAAAGGAAAAATCCCAAACGGGAAACCAACATTCCAGGGGGAAAAAGGCACTCCCAGGACATAAGCCTATAAAAAGACGGGCTTACTTTGTTAAAGTGGCCAATGCTAGTGGGGGAATTGAAAAGTTAACCCTTTTAAAAAAATTAGTTTTCCACTCTAAAAAACTCCCAGAGCGTTCAGGCAAAAGAATGCCCTCAAGGAAAATTTTGTGTGTGCTGGGGGGGCCCAAACTTTTAAAGGCAGGGGGTCACTAGGGAATTTTTCTATAACTGGTTACCCCTGCATTGCCCCCAATGTGAAAGATTACCTAACTGAAAAGAAATTAAAACCTTAATTGCCCCCTGGTGTTAGAAAATTTGCCCCGGGTAAACCTACAGACGGGGCCCCAGACGATTTTTTAAGGGGGAACATGGCTTCTTTAAAAGGTGAAGTTTTTTCCTTAATCCCAAATCCTCTCCTGCAGCCCATGGCCCAAAGCAGGTTTTTCCAAACTCAAAAAAAATGTACACAAAAGGGTCTGTTTCAAAAATGCTTTTTAAGTGACCCCAAAAACACTCGATTGACTCTAAAAGAGTTTTGGAAGGATCACTTTTTAAAATCCTCAAATTTTGGGAAAAAACCCTTTTAAAGGGAAGGGTTGGGAGGGAGTGACTAAGAGAACCTTGAAAACCCGCTTTGGGAAAAAAACTGTGGCCAAAAGGTTTTAGACAAAAGGGGTTTTTGAAGGGTTTTAGGGTTAAAACCCCCGGGAGTAGTATACCATTTTAGGAATCAATTTTGGAATTGGGGAAAATCCTTGGGGTTGGAGGTTAGTGGGGGGGAGGGGAAGAGTTGGTGGAGGAAGGGGCAATGGGAAAACAACCACTGATGGGGCTGATAGATCAACTTTAAAAGCAAGAGGCCAACCTGGGGAAATGGGTTTAAAGGGGGGGAGAGAAATTGAAGGAATTGCCTACCCCAAAGATTTAAAGGAAAAGTGGCAAAATGGCTTGAAGGGCCCAAAACCTTTTTTTAAAGAAAATCACCCTTACACAAGCTAATTTCCAAAACCGTGTGGTGACTGTTTTTCAATGACACTGTTTTTGAACCACTTTTTAAAAAAATCATAAAGGGGAAAAGAGGGACAGGCCACCCATGGACAGATATGTTGTGCAAAAAGTCCAGTGGGCTCTGAAACGGGGCCCAGTGGGATTTTAAAAAAAGAAGGGAAAATAAACCCCCGAAAAAGGGCTTTTCTACCCCAAAAACCAAAAAGGGAAAGGGGGTTCCCCTTTAAAAAACCAAAACCCCTCTCCCCCCCTCCTCCCATCCCATCAATCAAACCAGATCTTCAATAAAAGAAAATTGGCATTTTAAATTTTGCATGCCTTTTTCAGTTTTTTGTGTACTAAAAAAAAACAATTTTTTTTTGGTAAAAAAAAATTTTTTTTTTATACCTTTTTGGGGGGTCTTGCCGGGGTTAATTTTATTTCCCCTTATTTCTTAAAGGGGGAAAAATTTAAATTTGCATAGCGAACTTTTTCCCTAAAAGCCAGCCCCCCTTGCACGGGGTAAGTTCGCTTTCGGGGGGGCCACTGTAAATTTTTCCCCAAACTGATTAGCTCTCGCTGGTGATTGATGTAGCTTGGAGCAGCTGGGATTTTTTTCTCTTATAAAAAAGTGAATGTCAGTTTTACAGTCGTCTGCATATGAAGTGAATTTTTTGGGGTGAGATGAAAAAGGTCGTTGAAAATAGAAATTCCAAAAACAAAGGGGCCCAGACGTTCCCTTGGGGGAACACTTGCCCCCAAAAGGATGTCTTGCTGATTTTCCCTTCCATTTTAGAACTACACTTAAAGTTTTACCATGGAAGGGAGTCCCTCCTTCCCCCTCTCCCTCCTCCCTCCCTCTCTCCCATCCCCTCCCCTCTCCCTCTCTCTCTTTCCCCCCTCCTCTCCCTCTCTCTCCTCCCCTCTTCTCCCCTCTCTCTCCCTCCCCTCTCTCCCTCTCTCTCCCCCCTCTTTCTCTCCCCTCTCTCTCTCCCCCCCCTCTCCTCCCTCTCTCTTTCCCCTCTCTCTCTCCCTCTCTCTCTCCCCCTTCTCTCCCCTCTCTCTCCCTCTTCTCTCCCTCTCTTCCCCCTCTCTTTCCCCCTCTCTCATCCCTCTCTCTCTCCCTCCCTCTTTTTCCTCTCCCTTTTCCCTCTCTCTTTTTCCCTCTCCTCCTTCCCCCTCTCTCTCCCTCTCCTCTTCCCTCCCCCCCCCCTTTTCCCCCTCCCTCTTCCCTCCCTCTCTTTCCCTCCTTTTCCCCCTCTCTTCCCCCTCTTCCCCTCTCTCTCTCTCCCCCCCCCTCTCCCCTCTCCTCTACACTTCCAAAAACCCCCTCTCTAAAACTCACACACACTCTCTACACCCCTTTTTCCCCGGTGCATTCACACTTTTTATGACCCAATTTTTGCATCCCGACCTTTATTTTAAACCCCCATAATCTTTTAATTTTCACATTTATGTTCCCCCTTTTTCCCTCCATAAAATGACCTTCAAATTATTGCTTTTCCCCTTTTCCTTTTTTCTAAATCTCTCAGATACCCTGACTTAATCCCAAATTTTATCTTCCCCCTGAAAATCCCCCCCATTCGCTTTGTTTCACTTAGGGGCCCGGACATCCAAATTTTTTTTCATTCATACATTTGCAATCATCTCCTTACATTTTGCCCCCCTACATCTATGCCATTTAACATCCCAATTTTTTAAAAATTTTTCTTAACTTTTTTAATGAATGTATACAGGAGAAAAGGGGTTTCTACCCACCGCTCCCCGCATTTTTGGGCGCCCCATAAGACATCTTGGTTAAAGGGGGAATTTTTTTTTCCACTTCCCCCTGAACAATTTGAGGAAAAAAAAGAAGAACAAGAGGGTATTAAGAAAAAGAGAAAAAAACCCTTTATGTGTGTATGTATGTATATTTCCAAAGTACATTCCTGTGTAAAGGGGGACATAAGGTTTTAAAAAAGAAGTTGCCAAAATAACCTTTTATCCAGAAAAATTTAACAACTCAATCCAAACCCCCGTAAAAAAGTTACATTGGTTTTTATTTCACAGTCCCCTGACAGGGCAGTAGACCCCCCTGGGTGGTTGCCGCAACCAACCCAAACCCCCTTTTTACCCCCCAAAACATCCCCCTTTTGCTCCATCCTCTCTAAATGACCAAACTACCTCAACATCCCCTCCTCAGCCCTCTGAATAATACTTTTAGTAACTCTACACCTTCTCCTAATTTCCACACTATGACTTCTCTGCATAATATTTACACCAAACACTGCCATTAGACATGACATCTCCACTGTTTCTAGCCTCCTCCCTGCTGTAGCATTTACAACTCATGCTTCACACCCATATAAGAGTGTTGGCACCACTATATACTCTCATACATTCCCTTCTTTGCCTCCATGGATAAGGCTCTTTGTCTCCGCAGATACCTCAGTGCACCATCCACCCTTTTTCCTTCGTCAATTCTGTGGTTTACCTCGTCCTTCATAAACCCATCCGCTGACAAGTCTACTCCCAAATATCTGAACACATTCACTTCTTCCATACTCGCTCCAATGTGATGTCCAATATTTTCTTTGCCTTACAAGTTAGTTATTCTATGTTGGGTATGTATTTACAGTACTCTGATGTTTATCTTATGTCCTCTGTCATGAAGTTGTGTAAGTCATGTTGCATTATAGAGCTTTAAAGTGAGCTTATATAGGTAACAGCTCTTAGCTTGTAAATGAAGTTATGAACCCTTAACCTGACCTTGTAAAATGCTTGTGTAAAAAAAAAAAAATGAGGATTGCTAGCAGTTAGCACATAATCATCAAAAAATAGTTTGATAACTAGTTGTTCTTAAAAAAATAGTGTGGAGAACAAGTTAACTTCTACAACATTAATTATGAGGTGAAGAAAATTGATCAGAAACCAAGTGGGACAATAGTACAAATGGATCTAAAGTATAAAAAAAAAAAAAAAAATTAGGGATGTTTTAATCCTTTAATTCCTTATTAGTAGTATTTTGCTTGATGTGAGGTCATCTGATCTACAAACTACATCAAAGATACATTATATTTTATACAATAATGTGTAATTTTTCCTGAACAGGAAGCAGCAGTGTGTCGAGACTTCATGCACGGCATCGTCGGAAAAAGCAGCGGCGTCATCGACTTCAACCTGCCATGTCACGCACCTCCTCCATATCCTCAATCACTGACTCTACCATGTCACTTAATATCATCACTGTTACTTTAAACATGGATACTGTAAACTTCTTAGGCATTTCCATTGTTGGCCAGTCAAGTAAAGGTGGCGATGGGGGGATTTATGTGGGATCAATAATGAAAGGGTGAGTTGAATGGATATTTTGTTACAGTTTGAAAGTTTGCATTTAAAATAGGTTCTATCTTTTTCGTACCTTACATAATACCACAACGTTTCCTTCATATATATTTTTTCATGTATACTACATATTTGCAGTTGACAGATATCCTTTTAATATCACTTATTGCTCTGGAGGTATGTCAGTGTTGCAGACACAGATACACGAGTAGAAACACCACACAAAGACAAACCTTTATTATAAAAAAAATTTCACTCAGGATGAATTTTATCAAGTCACTTGAATGGAATTTTTCTTCTTATCCTTTTTAGTAATTATTACAGGAAAGGGGTTACTAGCCCATTGTTTCCGGCATTTTAGTTGACTTTTACAATACGCATGGCTTACGAAGGAAAGATTCTTATTCCACTTCCCCATGGATATAAAAGGAAAGGTAATAAGACCAAGAGCTATTAAGATAAAATCAAAGAAAACTCAGATGAGTGTGTATAAATAAACATGTACATGTATGTGTAGTGTGACCTAAGTGTAAGTAGAAGTAGCAAGACGTACCTGTAATCTTGCATATTTATGAGACAGACAAAAGACACCAGCAATCCTACCATCATGTAAAACAGTTACAAGCTTTTGTTTCACACTCACTTGGCAGGACGGTAGTACCTCCCTGGGTGGTTGCTGTCTACCAGCCTACTACCTGCAGGCGTCCATGAACGTGTTCGATAGGAGTGAATGGAGATGAATGGTATTTGGGACCTGACGATCTGTTGGAGTGTGAGCAGGGTAATATTTAGTGAAGGGATTCAGGGAAACCAGTTATTTTTATATAGCCGGACTTGAGTCCTGGAATTGGGAAGTACAATGCCTGCACTCTAAAGGAGGGGGTTCGGGATATTAGCAGTTTGGAGGGATATGTTGTGTATCTTCATATGTATATGCTTCTAAACTGTTGCGTTCTGAGCACCTTTGCAAAAACAGTGATTATGTGTGAGTGAGGTGAAAGTGTTGAATGATAATGAAAGTATTTTGTTTTTGGGGATTTTCTTTCTTTTTGGGTCACCCTGCCTCAGTGGGAGACGGCCGACTTGTTTTTAAAAAAAAAAAAAAAAAAAAAAAAAAATGGAACACAAAATTACAACGAAGGGGGAAAGAAAGTGGATTTGGTGGGGAATGGGAACCAAACACTAGTGTGGAAGGTGAAGTACAGTCAGTAAGGAGTAAATTGAGTTGTGTTGCATCAGGTTAGTTTGCCTTTGCCCATTTGTAGTTTTGCTAGAGGTAGAGCAATATTAACCCTTTCAGGGTCCAAGGCCCAAATCTGGAGTCACGCACCAGTGTCCAAGAATTTAAAAAAAAAAAATTTGTTATTTTTTCTTATGAAATCGTAGAAAATCTTTTTGTGAAGGTAATAAAACAAAAAGTATGAAATTTGGTGGAAAATTGACGAAATTATGCTCTCGCAAATTTTGATGTGTCAGCGATATTTACGAATCGGCGATTTTGCCGACTTTGACTCCCATTTTAGGCCAATTACATTATTCCAATCAACCAAATTCTTAGCTATTTCACTAGTATTACTTCTATTCTATCGATTGAGCACAAGAAATCGCCAAGTCAACTGTTTCAACTACAAAATAAAGTGATCGGAAATTGTTAATTTGGCCAATTTAACACAAAGTTCAAAATATTCCAGTTTCAAAATAGGGTCCAGAATGAACAATGTAGGCATTCCTGGCACTAAACTAACATTTCCTCTGTTCATTAGTTATGTTTTGAGGCTTTACAAATAAATTCCATTTTGATTTTTTATTCACATAATGAATTTTTATTCACACCAAAAAATAGAAGATTTACTGTTATGCAATACTGAAATAGTTGTATAAATATCATCACCATATTTGTGAATGTATATTAGACCCACCAGCTGACGTGTATTAGACGTGTGAGGTCGTTTGTTTACTCTTGAATATCGGCAAAAATTTAAACATTTCTGCTACTTTGAGCTCAGTTTCAAGCCATTTCCAGTGCTAAAACCAATCAAAATCATCTCTATTTCTGTAATATGTCTTCCATTCTATCAAATGAGACCAAGAAATCGCAAATACAACTATAAAAAACATATGAAAAAACACTGCAAAGTTGCTGTTTTAATCGAAAAATCATGATTTCATTTTTTTTCTCTCATTATACACAGTGTGCTGCAGGATCTGTTTTATGTGGTGCACACATACCACATAGATGTATTCTCTCATATCTAGGCCCAAATGTACCACTCACAGTTTATCAGAGTGAGCTGAGCTCATGGCGTAGATCTACGGTTTGGACCCTGAACGTAAAGCCGTAGATCTATGGGACGGACCCTGAAAGGGTTAACCCTTTTGACTGTCGCAACCCCAAATCCTGAGGTGTCTCCTGGTGTCACAAAATATTTCAAAGAAAAAAAAATGATTTTTTTCTTATGAAATGATAGAGAATCTTTTCCTGATGGTAATGACACCAAAAGTACGAAATTTGATGGAAAACTTACGGAATTACGCGTGTGAAGTTAGTGACCTCGGCGATATTTATGAATCAGCGATTTCGGCCACTTTGAGCCCTATTTTCTACTAATTTCATTGTTCCAGTCGACCAAACTCACAGCTATTTCTTTAGAACTCTATTTTTTCTATCAATTGAGTACAAGAAACTGCCCATTTACCGATGTCAACTACCCAATAAAGTGGTCAGAAATTGGCAATTTGGCCAATTTCATGCAAATTAAAAAATATGCCAATTTCAAAACAGGGTTCAGAATGAGCAATGCAGACATTCCTGGCTCTAAAATAACATTTTCTTTGTTCATCAGTCATGTCTCCAGGCCCCTCTGATATTACTCTTGCTTTCTATTTTGAATTTTTATTCAAACAAAAAATAGAAGATTTACTATTATGCAGACCAGGAGGCCTGGTCACAGACCGGGCCGTGGGGGTGTTGACCCCCGGAACTCTCTCCAAGTAAACTCCAGACTACTACAATATTGTAATAATTGTATAAATAATGTCAACCCATTCATGACTGCATATTAGAATGGCTAGTTGGACATTCATTGGACAATGACGTCATTTGTTTACTCTTGAACATTGGCAAAAAGCAAACATTTCCCCTACTTTGAGCTCCATTTCAAGGTCATTTTCATAGTAAAACCAATCAAAATCACCTCCATTTCTATAATATGGTTTCCATTCTTTCAAATGTGACTATGAAATTGAGAATATTATAACTATAAAAACTATATGAAAATCCACCTCAAAGTCGCCATTTTAATCCAAAAACACGATCGTTTTTTTTTCCTCATTATGCACTGCTTGGTGGAGGATTTTTTTTTTTTTTATACTGCAAGCACTGACCACACAGACCCTTTCTCTCATATGTGGGCCTACCAGCTTTCATCTGCTTGATTTGAAGCCGCTAGAATTTTTGAGTATATATCCGTCAAACACATTGGCTCGTAAGACGTATATATATGACTGAAACAGTCAAAGGGTTACCCTCTAAACTGTGGTATACCCAGAATTTTTTTTTTTTTTTTTGTAAAGATTTTGAAAAATAATTTTTTTTGTAGAATAAATGAGATCATTTTTATGAATCAAATAAGACTAAAATGAGTGGAATCTGATTTTACGGTGCTGAAATTGTGGCATAAATGTGCCAGCGATATTTTTTACAATTTATTGATGCAAAATTATGATTATTTTTCAGTATTTAATTGTTTTAATGTTTAACAATATGTATGATAGTTTTTGTTATTAGATGTGTTTAAAGATGTTATAGCATTGGTACACTTGGAATATACAGTATATATTGGTGAAATAATTGTTTTTTTATTCTGTTTTTTTTTTTACTATGGTGGTCTTCTGACACAGTGTACAAGGAATACTTGTAATTATAGTTGTTTCAAGGTGTAATACTCCTCAACATGGAAATAAGTCACATTGACTATTGAGTTATCCTAGGTTAATTTTTTTTTTCCCCAACAAGTCAGCCGTCTCCCACCGAGGCAGGGTGACTCAAAAAGAAAGAAAATCCCCAAAAAAGAAAATACTTTCATTATCATTCAACACTTACACCTCACTCATACATAATCACTGTCTTTGCAGAGTCACTCAGATACGGCAGTTGAGAAGTCCCTCGAAACTGTCAATATCCCAGACCTCTCCTTTAACCCTTTGGCTGTTTCGGTCGTATACAGTGGACCCCCGCATACCGGACGCATCGCATACCGTACAATCCGCATACCGGACGCTTTGATCGCAAAAATTTTGCCTCGCATACCGCCCAAAAACCTGCTCACCGCCCTTCGTCCGAGACGCGTCCAATGTGCGGCCTGAGCCACGCTCGCATGTTCCGCCGGTGGCATTGTTTACCAGCCAGCCTCCGCGGTAACATCCAAGCATACAATCGGAACATTTCGTATTATTACAGTGTTTTTGGTGATTTTTTTCTGGAAAATAAGTGACCATGGGCCCCAAGAAAGCTTCTAGTGCCAACCCTACAGCAATAAGGGTGAGAATTACTATGGAGATGAAGAAAAAAGATCATTGATAAGTATGAAAGTGGAGTGCGTGTCTCCGAGCTGGCCAGGTTGTATAATAAACCCCAATCAACCATCGCTACTATTGGTGGTACAGCTGCTGCTGCTGCTGTACCACCGTCAGCTGCTGCTGCTGTACCACCGTCAGCTGCTGCTGCTGTACCACTGTCAGTGCTGCTGCACTGTCAGCTGCTGCTGCACTGTCAGCTGCTGCTGCTGTACCACCGTCAGCTGCTGCTGCTGCTGTAGTACCGTCTGCTGCTGCTGTAGCATCGGGTCTGCTGCTGCTGTAGCATCGTCTGCTGCTGCTGTAGCATCGTCTGCTGCTGCTGTAGCATCGTCTGTTGCTGCTGTACCACCGTCAGCTGCTGCTGCTGCTGTAGCATCGTCTGCTGCTGCTGCTGTAGCATCGTCTGCTGCTGCTGTAACATCGTCAGTT